ATTCCAAAGGTTGTGGGAAGTTTTGCTCTCATATTTTAATTTGATCCTAGAATTTTTCTTCAGTTCCTTCTTTTTATTAACTCATATGCAACTGCTTGTCTTCTGTTTTGTTGAAGCAGTAAGTCACACAACACTTGCCACAGTAATGTCTGTCAAAGTGGCCAGCCATGAAAACTCCAGCACCACATTCATCAGAAGGACACTCTCGAGGTAGTTGACTAATTTGCCATTTTCATCCCCCTTTTAGTATTTCAGCAGAACCAATTTAACCTTCTTCCTCTTGTGCTTATTCTTCTTGGGAGTGTTGTAAGACGTCTTCCTTTCTTAGCACCACAAAGTCTCTACACAAGATGAAGGTGGACTCCTTTTGAATGTTGTAGACAAAGTGTGGCCATCTTCCAGCTGCTTACCAGCAAAGATCTGCCTCTGCTAATGAGGAATTCCTTCCTTATCTTGGATCTTGGCCTTTACACGTTCTATAGTGTCCAAGGGTTCAACCTCGAGTGTGATGGTGTGCCCTGTAAGGGTCTTCACAAAAATCTTGGTGGAGGCTCCACTGCAGAAAGCAGATCAGAAAGGATTCTAGAAATTTTTTAGTTCCCTTCTTAGTTTCTTAGTGACTGAATGTTCAGTCAAGTTTGTTGTCTAAGTGTTTGTGTAGTTTCTATTGCAGGTGATTTCTAGCTTTATTTCACTGTAGTCTGATAATATACAAGAAATTATTTGGATTATTTTTGTATTTGATAAAGCATTTTTTTTCCGTTAAAGTCTTCATTCTTTATTCCTGTCTCAGTAAACAAGTTGTGTTTTCCAAAGTACCAATCTAGAGATGTTAAGAAGCACCAGTGAGTTTCACAGAGTAATATTCAGTGACCTCTTTAAATACAACTTTAATCTTTATTATAAATTAAGCATAATAATAATTTAATGCAATAGGCTAAATATACACAAAGCCTCCATATTCTGAATTATGAAAGTTTTTATAGTATACTTGATTAAAACTATATGTGTAATCATGTGTGCATTTCCACAATGCAAGTATTTTCAAATATGTCAGTAAAACACTACTCGGAATACTTGTCCTGACATCAGCTTTGTAAGCACAGCCATTTCTGCTACTGAAAGCATTTATTTTGAGCTTTAATATCATCAAGGAAGATGAGGCCTAGCAGAACTTAACAAATATAAGCATCAAAAATTTTTAAATTAAAACCCCACTCAGTACAGAAAAACTAATATAAAACTTTTACTATCTTTTTTAAATTTACTTTAATTTTATTAATTACACTTTATTCACTTTGTATTCCCCATAAGCCCCTCCCTCCTTCCCTCTTGGCCCCACCCTCCCCTCCCCCTTCTTTGCACATGCCCCTCCCCAAGTCCACTGATAAGGGAGGTCCTCCTCTCCTTCCTTCTGATCTGAGTCTATTAGATCATATCAGGAGTGGTTGCATTGTCATCTTCTGTGGCCTGGTAAGGCTGCTCCCCCCTCAGGGGGAGGTGAAGCCTAAATGGTATATACTCACTCCTATAGACATATAACATAGGATAAACTTACTAAAATCTGTACATCTAAAAAACTAATCAAGAGAGAGGATCCTGACTAAAATGATCAATCCACATCCCGAAAGGCAAAGAGGATGAACTTTTACTTTCTTTAAAACACTTCTTTTTTTCCTTGAGTTGAGTTTAAGTAAGGAATTTAGTGAAGAATGATAATAAAGTGACTTTCTTTCAGAAAAATAACAACCCTGCTGTTTAGAAAATAGTATTAAGCCACAAACGGTGGTGCTCGCCTGTAATCCCAGCATTTGGGGAGGCAGAGCCGGGTGGATCTTTGTGAGTTCGAGCCCTCCCTGGTCTACAAAGCAAGTCCAGGACAGCCAAGGCTACACACAGAAACCCTGTCTCGAAAAAAAAAAAAAAAAAAAAAAAAAGAAATGCTCCATTAAGACATAAACATTCTTGCAAAAGTGTGGTTTCTTAAAAGAAACACAAACCAGTCACTAACTAATAAGACTAATAACGTCTCAGGCCACTGTTGTCTAAGAACTTCAGATATATAGAGTGCAAGCCTCAGCTTTCAGAAAGTCTAAAGGACATTTAGATGTCACATGTTATGCACCTATAGTATATAACTCGTCATGCACAAATCTACCTAAAGCATAAAGACAATGTTTATCCTTTATAGATGGCACCACATGGTTTGCAGTACTTTAATTTGTGTGTAGCCATCAAAACCCAGTAAGCAATTCAACTATGGTGAATTCAGATAAGGCAGGCAATTAAGGACTTGAGTTATGGAATCTAGAATGAAGGACCTCTTCTTTAAATTTAATTTTATTTATATACTTATTTATTACAATTTATTCACTTTGTATCCCCACTGTAGCCCCCTTCCTTGTCTCCTCCCAGTCTCACCTCCGTCTTCTCCCTCTATGCCCTTTCCCTAGTCCCCTTCTATCTGACCCTAGCTTATCAGGTCTCATCAAGGCTGGCTGCATCATTTTCCTATGTGGCCTGGCAAGGCTAACCCCTGCCTCCCAAAAAAAGGGGAGGTGATTAGAGAACCTGCCACTGAGTTCATGTCAGAGACAGCCTCTGTACCCCTTACACGGGAGCCCACTTGGACACTGAACAGCATGCCTAGCTGTCAGGATATTACTGTAGAAAACAGTTACAATGTAAGGTTTCCACAGAAAATAACAAAATTTCAGAATTTACAAAGGTGTGAAGACCCATAGTTGGACTTTTCTAGCCCATTTCAATTCTTCATTCTTAGTAAATAAAATCTTCAACTTTATCAACTATCCTTGGGGCCTCAACTGTGTCTTCCAATTGCCATTGCCTTGTGAGTGTTTTCAGTGATGAACTCTTATGACAAGATCTTTTAAGAAGATCCACGGATTCAGTGTAAGGATTTTACTCCTCCTAAACCCATAAACATATGCCATCCTAAATCCATATACATGATGTGATTCTTTTTCGGGTGCAAGTTGTTTGTTTTATCCTGTTCCTGTTTCGAAACGCAGTCTCACTGTTGTATCTATGGCTGTCTTGAAACTCACTGTGCAGATCGAGCTGGCCTAGAACTCACAGAGATCTGCCTGCCTCTGCTTCCCAAATGTGATTAAAGCCACGTGCCATGATGCCTGGCATACACTGTAATTCTTTAGGAAAAAAAAAAAAAAAAAAAAAAAAAAAAAGGATATTTCTTTTACCCTGTCTACTTTCTGCTTCTCTTCCAATTTCTTTCATTTTCCTCCTCAAAGGCAGAGTCTTCCTTTCATCTGTTGTCCTGCCAACCCAGCAGCTTGTCAAACACCTCCTGCTTGCTTAGACATGCTTGAAGGTCTATACTGGGATCATTTTTGAGAACGTTCTCTAGGCCACTGAGAGGAATATGAACTTTTTATCTGTTAGATGGAAATTTTTGTTTATATCTGCTAAGTCCAATTAACGGATTGTATGATTATTTAATCCTGAAGGTTCTTTATTGGTTGAGTGGCAAAGACCTAGCTAAAGCTTATAGTGAGGCACTGAAGCCTCCCACTATCACTGTCCTGTAATGTGCTTTCGTGTTTATTTCATGCTGTTGGGAAGCTCTTACATTTATTGGAATTTTTTTGCAATAATTATAACATCCTGATAAATTATTCCCTTTATTAGCATGTAGTTGCTCCCTTACCTTTTCTACCTAGCTTTTCTTGGAGGGTATTTTATCACGTGTGAGAGTTTTATTTCGTTACTTCTGTGTGCAGTTGCACATTCAGAGTCTATGTATTCTCTTAGAATAATATTCCTTGTCAGTGTACAGATTATCTTCTGTTATGAGCCATTTTATAAAATGAATTACTGTAGTTCAGTTGCTGACAGCATCATATGTATTATATATTATTAGGAGACTATAATTTATTATACCCTGGGTTAAAGGATAAAAAAGTATTTAGGCCATTATATTTTATTTCAAGGAATTTGCATGTATTCAGGGAAAGTGAAATGACTGGAAAACTGAAATGAGTTTCTTAAAAAGAATGTCTTGGGAGGGAGGGTGGGATTGGGAGGAGATGAGGGAGAGGAACACAGCTGGGATACAGCTTGAATAAATTGTAATAAATGATAGGAAAGAATATCTTTTTGGATTGTTAAGATGACTCAGTTGGTAAGGACACCTGTCACTAAGACTGACCACCTGAATTCAAGCCTCAGTACTCACATGGTAGGAGGAGAGAAGGAACTCCCACAAGATGGCCTCTGACCTCCACACGTGCTGCGCGTGCGCGTGCACACACACACACACACACACACACACACACACACAATTAATTAAAATGTAATTTAAAAAGTGAAAATATAAATCAGGCACGGTGGCACATACCTGTAATCCCAACACTTGGGAGGCAGAGGCAGGCAGATTGCTGTGAGTTTGAGGCCAGCCTGGTCTACAGAGTGATTCCAGAACAGCTAGGGCTACACAGAGAAACCCTGTCTTGGGCAAACAAAAAACCAAAAAGTAAAAATATATTTCTTACTAAGTGAAAATAGTTTGAAAAGAAAAGAAATATTTATAAAAATCTCTCAAATTGATGCATTCTTAAATATTAGCAAGAGTCTAAAAATTGTTTCTCACACTCAAAGCTGGATAACTGTTATCATGATGAGATGATGATGTGGGTTTCGGACACAAATGGCCTGTGCACAACACTGTAGTTGGTGAGTCACCTGATAGACTATTTCTACTTTGTAATTACATTGTAATGTTTAGTATTTATTTATGAAGTGTTTAAGGCTGTCCTTTTTTTTTTTTTTTTTTGAGGATACAGATTAGTTATACATGACTATAAAATCCCAACCTAATGCTCTTTGTTCAATTCTGTATTCTTGATATGCAAAGTGGTTGTTTTAATAGAATATCTACTGCATTTCCATTCTCTTTTAATGTATATGAGATGTTAATCACAATTTATATTTTATTAACTGGATTTTTATTTGTTTTACAGGGGATCTTTCCTGCGAATTATATTCATTTGAAAAAGGCAATTGTCAGTAATAGGGGGTGAGTAATTAGCATAAGTTAACTTATGATTATTAAAGGTTACAGAGGAAGTCTGACTTGGTTCATAGTTTAAAATGTATTATTGACAAGTTTTTAAAAATATATGTTTATTATTATATAGAATCCTGAGTTCTAAATATTTTAAACCATTCTGGGTAAATACCCTTAGCTACAGTTTTGTCAAAGCAGGTATGTATGTAGTGTTTTTATAATACAAGGATACTAAGAATAATTATTTATACACTAGGTATTAGAGATAAGTTTGTCATTTTATTGTTGCATGTCAGAGTGAAGGAAACTTTAAAATCTTTTGTTTGTAGGTAGAGATTAAAAAAAGTTTAAAGGTGGGGCTGGAGAGATGGCTCAGAGGTTAAGAGTGCTGGCTGCTCTTCCACAGGTCCTGAGTTCAATTCCCAGTAACCACACGGTGGCTCACAACCATCTGTAATGAGATCTGGTGCCCTCTTCTGGCGTGCAGGCGTACATGCAAATACACATTATATACATACTAAATAAATATATCTTTAAAAAATAGTTTAAAAGTATACCTTATGGATAGAAAACATTATGTATGCAAAATAGATACTTTAAAGCACACATTTGAAAAACAAAAACAGATTTTTGTTTTGTTTGTTTTGTTCATTTGTTTGTTTGTTTTTTAGACAGGGTCTCACTGTGTGGCTCTCACTAGCCTGGAAATTGCTTGTCTAAATCAGGCTGTTCTCATAGAGACTTGCCTGCCTCTGCTTCTCGAGTGCTAGGATTAAAGGCATGTGTCACCATAGTTTAGTGTTTTTATGGGATTTCTGAGTGTATGAATGAGTAGTCTCTAATTCTTGTGCCTAACTTGAACTCTTTTTCTTCTGTTTGTTTTGCGTGATTCTGATGTATTTTGTTTTATCTTATTATGTTTTATTATTATTTCTCAAAAGCCTGTTTGTTTTTAAATGAAAGATAGAACAGAAAGGGTATGGATCTGGTTGGGAGAAAAGGTGGGGAGAAACTGGGAGGAATAGAGGGAGGGGAAACTGTAACCAGGATATATTATGTGAGTAAAAAATCCACTTAAATAAAATAAAAAATTAAAATAACATATTAAAGAGATATTTATATAACAACAACAAAGAAAAACAAAAGCAATCCTCATAAAAAAGAGGTGAGACGTAAATATTCCAAATGTTGCCATTGTTGTTTTACACGTAGAGAGTGCTTTTTAAGGCTACTGTTATTGTAATGTCCTATTTTGTATTTAATTCTTCAAAATTTATCTTAAAATGCAAAACTCAAGGGCTACTTAATTTCTACTAAGAAAGCTTTTGACTGGAGAGTGAATAATAATCAGAGTACCATAGTCATAAAAACATTAAATTATGAAGTGGAATTTAATATAGGACACTCTTTGTGCTCATGTTTAAAGGGCGCAAACCAAAAGAGGAAATACTGATATCAACCAAACAATGACAACAACAGATATCAGTCTACTCAAATGTCAAAGTACGGTAGGGTGGGGAGACCAGATCCTCGCAAGTGGGGGGCCTGGGTCTGGAGCCGATAGAGCACAAGTATTTGAGAAAGGGGGTGGCAGGGCTGCTGGTGCTGCTTATGAACAATGTGGCAATCAGGGCACACTCTGTTGCTGTTAAAAAAAACCTGGATGCTAAAGCCAATTTTCATTGGTAGAGCAATTGTTTATAGGAACAGTAAGGAACACATCCCTTTTTTTTTTTTCTTCTCGATATTATTCTAATAACTGCAGCTGGCAAAGGAGGTTGTGTAACAAAGTTCATGTGCTCAGCCTTAACCTCAGTTCTCAGAAGGTTAGTTTGGAAGTGGTAATTACTAGTAAATCACTGATCTGACTTCCAAGGTAAAGTTTGGTATTGGAGAATTGTAAAAATTACAACAGTATGATAATATTAAAATACTATTAAAACAATTATTTATGCTCCCCCTTTTTGTATGGGTGTGTGGTAGGAAGTAAACACAGAGCCCTGTATGTGACAAATACGCAGTCTACCACTGAGCCACATCCACAATCCTGACATATTTCTTATTTTTCCCTCTTTCCTTTTTATAAAATGAACATACACTAAGTGTGTATGTCTGTAAACGTGGATATCCTACATTACAGAATCTTTGCAAGACATAATCTGCAACTTCAAATTTTTAAATAAGAACTTTCAAAATTATAAACACTATATAGAAGTTGTATGAGGAAAAGGGTGTATCTAGACTTACAATAGGGAAGGTATAAACCTCAAAAGTTACAAAAACATTTTCTGAGTTGAAATGGCATATAGCAAAACATAACAATGTTATTCTTGATCTATAGCACTATGATCTTTGACAGAAGCACCATGGAGTGAGTGGAAGGACTGACTTATAGCAGTGATATAGAAATAGAGTGTCTCAGGAAATATCAGCAAGACAATTCTTCCTCATGATAAGTGACTCACCTTGAGTTCAAGAACCATGGGCCTTAAAAAAAATAACTGTGAAGACTTGAGAGACAATTTGGTAGTAGAAGAGCATACACCTGAATTCTTTTTGTCTTAGGGAAAGCAGAGGAGTTGTAGCAGAGGATTACTCCTATCAGTCATATTTGTTGGATGTTCTCTTTCTCTGTGGGAGCATAGCAGCAAAGGTCTTTGGATATAAATCTCAGAAAGCTACCTAAAACTAACTGTTGTATCTAGATGCCTAGCAGGGTCATTGTACAGAACAGAAGTTCTAAAACCCAGATAAAGTACAAAACAAACAAACTTTCTGCAGGCACTGGAGAACAATGGACACAGACAGGATTTTAAAGGTTCTGATCCATGGAGGAGCAGATGCACATAGGAAGCACTTCATGTTTACTTTGCTTTTTTTTTTCCCTCAGAAAATTTCATTTTGTCATCACATGGTAGAACAGAGCGTAGGAAGACAATGGTAGTCTTTCTTGGCATCAGCAAGACGGTGGACTAAATGCTCACTTTGGCAGCACACATAGTAAAATTGGAGCCATACAAAAATTAACATGGCCACTGTACAAGGATGACACACAGATGCATGAAGTGCTCATATTAAAAAATATAAAAGGTGTACTAGGAAATCTCACCCCTCATCCTTTACAGAACACTGATTTAACAGTCATATATACAGTAATGTATTTATATGAGTGGTTCAGAATCCAGTTAAGATGATTCAGGGCCCTAGGGAGAACAAAACGGTCAACAGCCACTTTTGAAAAAATGAAGCCACTTTTAAAACTTTTGAATACAGAATAACCATTCTAAAATCCACAGACCTAAAGAAGCTAAATAACAAGGAGGACTTTAGGGAGGATGATTAATTTTCATTCAGAAGGGCAAATACTGGAAGCAGTTGAAGAGAGGAAACAGGATGGGAGCTTACCATAGATGTTCTCTGAAAAACTCCACCCAACAGGGGATCAAAACAGATGCAGAGACTCACAGCCAAACTTTGGGCAGAGCACTTGGGGTCTTATGGAAGACTGGAGGGATAGAAGGACCCGGAGGGGTCAGGAGCTCCACAAGGAGACCAATAAAGCCAACAAATCTGGACCCAGGAGTCCCTGCAGAGACTGATGCATCAACCAAGGACTATGCTTGGGGAGGACCTAGGCCCCTTGCTCAGATGTAGCCCATGGGCAGCTCAGTCTCCATGTGGGTTCTCTAGTAAGGGGAGCAGAGACTGTCTCTGACATGGACTCTGTTGCTTACTCTTTGTTCACTTCCTACTGGTGGGGCAGATTTGTCAGGCCACAGAGGGCTAGGCTCCAGGTGGACCGGATAAGACTTGATAGGCTAGAGTCAGATGGTGGGGGAAGAGGGCTCCTACTTTATGTAGACTAGGGGAGGGGGAAAGGCGGGAAGAGGGACGGAGGTTGGGATGGGGGGAGACAAGGAATGGGGCTACAATCGGGATATAAAGTGAATAAATTCCGTCTTCTCCTGCTTCCAATGTCTATTGCATTTTCCCTTCTGAATGAGGATTGAGAATCTTCCCTAGGGTCTTCCTTGTTGTTTAGCTCTTTAGGAGTATAGATTTTAGTATGTTTATCCTTAATTTTATGTTTAATAACCACTTATGAGTGAGTATATACTATGTGTGTCTTTCTGCTTCTGGTTTACCTCACTCAAGATGATCTTTTCTAGTTCCCACCATTTGCCTCCAAATTTCATCATTTTGTTTTTAATAGCTGAGTAGTATTTCATTGTTTAAATGTACCACAATTTCTGTATCCATTCCTCTGTTGAGGGACATCTAGATTGTTTCCAGATTCTGCCTGTTATGAATAGAGCTGCTATGAACATGGTTGAGCAGATGTCCTTGTTGTATACGTGAGCATCTTTTGGATATATGCCTAGGAGTGGGATAGCTGGATCTTGAGGTAGTACTAGTTTCTAATTTTCTGAGAAAGCACCAGATTGATTTCCAAAGTGGTTGTACAAGTTTACATTCCCACCAGCAATGGAGGAGGATTCCCCTTTTTTCTACATCTTCTCTAACATGTGTTGTCACTTGAGTTTTTGGTTTTGATTTTAGCCGTTCTGATGGATGTAAGTGTTTCTCCCTGATGACTAAGGACGTTGAACATTTCTTTAAGTGTTTTTCTGCCATTTGATATTCCTCTATTGAGAATTCTCTGAACAGGAGCCTACCACAGAGGGCCTCTGAAAGATTCTACCCAGCAGGGTTTCAAAGTAGAGACTGAGACTCATAGCCAAACTTTGGGCAGAGGGCATGGAATTTGATCAAAGAAGGGAGAGATAGAAAGACCTGGAGGGGACAGGAGCTACAAAAGGAGACCAAAAGAGCCAAAAGAAAAACAAACAAACAAAAACAAAACAAAACCAACCAACTAACCAACCAACCAAACCACAAAACCAGGCCCTAAGGGCCCTGCAGAGACTGATACCCCAACTAAGGACCATGCATGGAGAGGACCTAAAACCCCTGCTCAGATGTAGCCCATGGCAGCTTAGTCTCCAAGTGGGTTCCCTACTAAGGGGAGCAGAGGCTGTCTCTGGCAGGCTCTCTGGTGCAGCCTGGCCAGGCAACAGAGAAGACAATGCAGCCAGCGCTGATGAGACCTGATAGGCTAGGGTCAGATAGAAGGGGAGCAGTACCTCCCCTATCAGTAGACTAGGGATGGGGCATAGGGGGAGAAGTGGGAGGGAGGATGGGATTGGGAGGAGATAAGGGAGGGGGCTATAGCTGGGATACAAATTGAATAAAATAATAATAATAAGGTAAATAATGTTTTAAGATATATTTTTTTATGTATATGAGTGTTCTATCTTCATGTACATCTGCATGCCAGAGGAGGGCATCATCCCAGTATAGATGGTTGTGAGTTACCATGTGGTTGCTGGGAATTGAAATCAGGAACTCTGGAAGAGCAGACAGTGCTCTTAATAGTTGAGCCTCTCTCCAGCCCTAAAGTGAGTAAATTATAAAATTAAAATTTTAAAAAAGGTTATATAGCAGATTTCTCAGTACAGTCTTTTCAGAGTAAAACAACATACCATAGGAACAAACCATCTAGCAAAAATGTTGTGTCTAATAAAATGACACTTTAAATATGAAGAGAAAGATTTTTTTCCCATACAAACAGTAGCAGAGGTAATTTATCACAAGTAGACATGTCTAGCAAGAAATACAAGGAATGAGATCTTTAAGTTGGAGGAGAAAGGGTGCTTGCTATATGGCATAAAGGAAAATGAAAGTGTAGAATTCAACGAAGGCAAAAATAGGAACATGAAAACATGAATATTAACAAGGTAGTATATAAATCACTTATAATTTCAATATTAAAATAAAGTACAATTAAGAATAACTATAGTTGCAAAATTTATCAGCAGATATATGGCGTTGATTGTGATGTCAGTGACAAAAATTTGGGGAACTAGCTCTGTAGAAGAGGCTGCTCTCAAACTCAGAGAGATCCGCCTGCCTCTGCCTCCTGAGTGCTGGGATCGAAGGTGTGCGCTACCACTACCTGGGTCTTTCTTAATGTATTTGAGTGTAGTCTATATTAAGAAGAATGTATTCGAAGCTTCCAACTGAATTGTATGGTTTCTTTTTTTTTTTTTTTTTTAACAGAAGACAAAGCATGCAGGCTTGTTTTTAATTTTACGTGCACAAGAGCTTCATAGAAGAAATGAACACCAAAGCAGCAATGATATTTGAGAGCTCATCATAATATTTTTAATAGAGAAAAAGAAGGGGCATAGAGGCACTTCTAGAAAAATAAATGGCTTTTTAGAGGAGCATGGGGGATGGGGAAGAGAGATGTGTGGAAGCACAAATGACATCTGAAACGTAAATAGGTTTTGAGAATAGTTGGGAGACCTGACAGTTGGCAAAATGTTTATTCTGTATATTGTGTCAGCTTCACCTGGTCTCTCTCTCTCTCTCTGTTTTTAACGTACTTCTTAAGTCTGTTTATTTACATTTCTTTTTTTTATATTAATCACAGGTTATTTACTTTGTATCCCAGCCATAGCCCCCTCCCTCATTCCCTCCCAATCCGACCCTCCCTCCCTCCCTTCCCTCATCTCCTCCCTGCCCCTTTCCAAGCCCACAGATAGGGGAGGACCTCCTCCCCTTCCATCTGACCCTAGCAAGGCTGCTTCTCCCTAGGGGGTGGGGGGGGTGTCGAAGAGCCAGCCATTGAGTTCATATCAGAAATAGTCCCTGTTCCCCTTAATAGAGAACTCACTTGGATACTGAGCTACCATGGGCTATATCTGAGCAGGGGTTCTAGGTTATATCCATACATGGTCCTTGGTTGGAGAAACAGTCTCATGAAAGACCCCTGTGCCCTGATATATTTGGTCCTTGTGGAGCTCCTGTCCTCTCCAGGTCTTACTAACTCCTCTTTCTTTTGTATGATTCCCTGCACTCTGCCCAAGGTTTGGTTATGAGTCTTAATATCTGCTTTGATACACTGCTAGGTAGAGTCTTTCAGAGGCCCTCTGTGGTAGACTCCTGTCCTGATACTTGTTTTCTCCTACATCCAATGTCCATCCCATTTGTCTTTCTAAGTGAGGATTGATCATCTTACCCCGGGTCCTCTTTCCTGTTTATCTTTAGGTATATCGATTTCAGTATATTTATCCTGTCTTATAGGTCTATATAAGTTAGTATATACTTATATAGGTCTATATAAGTTAGTATATAAAGTTGTGTGTCTTTCTGCTTTTGGGATACCTCACTCAGGATTGTCGTTTCTAGGTCCCACCATTTGCCTGCAAATTTCATGATTTCCTCTTTTTTAATTGCTGAATAGTATTCCATTGTGTAAAAGTACCACATTTTCTGTATCCATTCCTCAACTGAGGGACATCTGGATTGTTTCTAGGTTCTGGCTATTACGAATAAAGCTGCTACAAACATGGTTGAGCAAATGTCCTTGTTGTGTACTTGAGCATCTTTTGGATATATGCCTAGGAGTGGGATAACTGGATCTTGAGGAATCACTATTCCTAATTGTCTGAGAAAGCACCAGATTGATTTCCAAAGTGGTTGTACAAGTTTGCATTCCCAACCTGGTCTCTTATGATGTGTCAGTTTTTGGTTGAAACTCCTGGTAAGAAGAAATTTATGACAATCTTTTAAAAGGATGTATTTTTACATAATTAAAAGAAAACTTCTTCCTTCACTGGTTGATTCTCAGATATCTTAATCTCTAAACAATCTTTATGCCCCTATGGCACAGCAGAACTCTTTTTGGTATTAATATGCCTTTAATCGATTATGTTGCTTTGCCAGAGAAAGGCTTTTAAATGCAGTAGGTGCTAACAAGGAACTAATTCTAAACATTTTTTTTTTTTTTCTGAAACGTATTTTTCAAAAGAAGCTTGGGTTTTTGTTTGGTCTTTAAAAGCAGTCATTTTGTATTAGAGCTTTTGGGCATTATAATTTCATATTTTGTATAACTTGTGGAATTATATAAATTGAATGTAACAAAATTATCAAAATGGAAATATATCTAGGCTGAGGAAGATAGTGGGGAAAAAAACACTTATTATACAAACATGAGGACCTGAGTTCAGGAATC